CAAAGAATTTTATTAACCCTTTTCCAAAATTTATTCCCAGGCTTCTTCAGCTTAATTTGCTGCAAAGAATGAATTGTGTTTAAGCAAAAACTGAAAAGAACTGCAGTGTCCAAGGGGCTTGGGCTTAAAAATATTAGCGATCTAGATTTGATCAGATCCATAAACAAAAGACCTTTACAAAGCAGCCATGTTATAAAATAGCAGCTCCTGTAACTTCTGCAAGTGTCAGTTCTTCAGAAGTCGCCTCCGTTCAGTTTGCCTCATTGTAAGAAGCCTCATCAAAATTCTCCACCAGATCTGGGACTTCATCATCATCATCCTCTCCAGTAGCAAGGGGTGTTTTTCCATCCACATATTGTTTGGGCAGAGCTTCAGCCAGTCTCCTTAAACTAGTCAGACTGTCTGCCCCAAGCTGGTTTAGAATGCTGGGAAGCATTTCTGTCAGTTGCTTTGTCTCGGCATGGCCTGTAACGGTGAAGGTGTTTGCTGCCCGAGACGCCTGAATTTTAGGGTTGTTAAAATGGATCACTGTTCCTTGGTTTGTGACCATGTTCACCTCTTCAGTACCAGAGAACTTCTTTAAGGAGAACTGGAGTTTTTTATCATCTGCTGTGGCTGTTCTGTGAACCACCTTCTTCTTTCTGTGAGCAGTTCCTTTCCCACCAATGCGCACTTCTGCCTGCAGGTTGGCCAGTTTTTCCTGGTTCATGATCGATTCTTTCATCTTGTCGGAGTGGAAATGGGGCCTTGTGCGGGACTAGGGTTTGCGCTCAGGGGGTCTCGGGCGGACCAGCTGAGATAATGCGGGGACGCAAGATGGCAGATCGGATCTTCTTTTTCCAGCAAGTATCAATTGCAAATATCTTCTTGGTTAGTGGAGTTTTTTGTGTCTGCTACACAGTTAATAATACTGGCATATGGTCTGGTTTGAATGGGTATGGGTCTTGTTTGTCCTTTCAAAGTCTCCTTCAGTTCTCATGTGGTATCCGTCTTTTGTCTCCAGAGCCAATCATGTGTTAGATTCCCGCAAACACGGGGTCGAACTGAAGTGTAGAGATGGATCAGATGAATTTGGATTTGATGAAATCTGATGTAGTACTTGCATGACTACTGGTTGGGTTAGAAGTGTGGTTTTGAGGCTGTGAAATGTTATTCTTGGAAAATTCCCATGCAAAGCCAATGTACAGTTGGCTAGTCCAGAGATAGCAGAGGATAAGTTGAGTGTCATGAGGAAAACTGATGACTGATTCTGCATTCAGGTCTAGGGCTTTGTATTTGGAGATAAAGGAGGTGTATATAGAATAGGGGCACTCACAAGGCAAGGCAGTTACATGATTGTGTGATCAGAAGTAGGACTGGGGACATGAGGAAAACTCTGACAGCTGAGGTTTTTGCAGTATGAAAATGGCTAAGCAATGTGTGTATTGAGAAGTAGGTATCATATCAAGGCACTAGAGCAAGACCTGTTCTTATGGTACATGGCAGAGAAAGCCAGTGAATGAACTTGTGTTACCAGAGCAAAGCCAAGGAGTATGGAAATGGCACAGAGCAGAAGAGGTTATGGGGAAAATCATCATGGAAATTAGTGCTTAATCTGTGTTCCCACAGATAGGACTTGGGACTATGAAGAGGACAAGAACATGAGTTTATTTCTTATGGATCCATCAGGGAAAGCTGGTATAGAAACTATATGATGAGAACTACTATTAAGAGCATTAGGATTAAACAGAAGATTCAAGAAGTCATTGTTTTTTAATGCTGAGTAGTACTCTAATATGTATATATTCCATACATTCTTCATCCATTCTTCCATTGAAGGGCATCTAGGATTTTTCCAGGTTCTGGCTATTACAAACAATGCTGCCATGAACATAGTTGAGCATATATTTTTGTTGTATGATAGGGCATCTCTTGGGTATATTCCCAAGAGTGGTATTGCTGGGTCCAGGGGTAGGTTGATCCTGAATTTCCTGAGAAACTGCCACACTGATTTCCAAAGTGGTTGCACAAGTTTGCATTCCCACCAGCAATGTATGAGTGTGCCCCTTACTCCACAACCTCTCCAGCAAAGGCTATCATTGGTGTTTTTGATTTTAGCCGTTCTGACAGATGTTAGATGGTATCTTAAAGTTGTCTTGATTTGCATTTCCCTGATTGCTAAGGAAGTTGGGCATGACCTTAAGTATCTTTTGGACATTTGAACTTCTTCTGTTGAGAATTCTCTGTTCAGCTCAGTGCCCCATTTTATAATTGGGTTGATTAGCCTTTTACAGTCTAGTTTCTTGAGTTCTTTATATATTTTGGAGATCAGACCTTTGTCAGTTGCAGAGTTGGTGAAGATCTTCTCCCAGTCAGTGGGTTGCCTTTTTGTCTTAATGACAGTGTCCTTTGCTTTACAGAAGCTTCTCAGTCTCAGGAGGTCCCATTTATTCAATGATGCCCTTAATGTCTATGCTGCTGGGGTTGTACTTAGGAAGCGGTCTCCTGATGTACTCACTGATAATTAGTTTCTAGCCATAAATAAAGGACATTGAGGCTATAATTCGTGATCCTAGAGAAGCTAAATAAGAAGGTGAACCCAAAGAAAAACATATAGTCATCCTCCTGGATATTAACCTTCATCAGGCGATGAAAGGAGACAGAGACAGAGTTCCACATTGGAGCACCGGACTGAAACCCCAAGGCCCAAATAAGGAGAAGGATAAGAGAGCACAAGCAAGGAACTCAGGAATGCGAGGGGTACACCCTCACACTGAGGCAATGGGGATGTTCTATCGGGAACTCACCAAGGCCAGCTGGACTGGGTCTAAAAAAGCCTGGGATAAAACCGGATTTGCTGAACATAGCGGACAATGAGGACTGCTGAGAAGTCAAGAACAATGGCACTGGGTTTTGATCCTACTGCACATACTGGCTTTGTGGGAGCCTAGGCTGTTTGGATGTTCACCTTACTAGACCTGGAAGGAGGTGGGAGGTCCTTGGACTCCCCACAGGGCAGGGAATCCTGATTGCTCTTTGGGCTGATTAGGGAAGGGGAACTTGATTGGGGGAGGGGGAGGGAAATGGGAGGTGATGGCGGGGAGGAGACAGAAATCTTTAATAAATAAATAAATAAACAAACAAACATGCCCAGATAATCATTTTCTGAATATTTTGTCTTTTTCATGTGTAGAATATTTTCACCTACTATATTCCTATGCTCATATTTATCATTTATTTTCAGCTATTGTTATAAACACATTCTTCCTGTTGCTTTTGAAGCAATAGGCCCTTAAGTCCACAGAACATAACATATTGATCTGTGGTACAAGCTGCTTAACCTCTTCTGATCATTTGACATATGTTGTTATTTGATTAATGCTTTAATTATTAAACCTGAACTATTATGCAAAAAAGGATTAAAAAGAAGAGTAAGATATGGTCAAAAGCAACAGGGAATTCCAATGTATAATATACAGTCAGGACTTGAGGATTGCAGATTATTCTGATAGGCCTGGCTTTAATGGGATTAAGCAGGGAATCCTTATAGTAGCAGAGATGCAGGAAATAGGACTTTGTGGTTAGACATTGCCCTGGTGAATAAAGTTATGTAAATCTAACAAAGAAAATCAGAAACCCTAGGCCTTCTGTGTACGTATGTGTGTGTGTGTGTGTGTGTGTGTGTGTGTGTGTGTGTTACAGCCATGTAGATTGGTCTTCTTGTGGGACTCCTAACAATGGCAACAGGGGCTATCTCTGAGGCTGTTGCATACTTTGGGGACCCGTTTTGCCTACCAGATTACCTCATCCAGTCTAAATAAAACAGGAGATACCTAGCCTCAATAGAACTTGATATTCCGTGATTGACTGAAATCCATGGGAGGCCCACCCTTTTCGGAAGAGAAACAGAGGAGGCAGAATGGATGGAGTACAAGGCATGATGGAGAGGAATGGGTTACCTCATAGATTGCTGGGAGTTTCCATTTTACTAGGTTTTTAGCTCATCCCAGAAATGTCCCAGAAGCCAGTTGTCTCTCTCAGTACTCTCTCTCCATTTTCCCCTCACCTGATCCATCCTGTTCCCATGCCTTGCCCACATCTAGACCCCTCTCCCATCCATCAGTGATGTCTATTCTATTACCCTTTCACAGTGAGAGTCTCAAGCCCCATTGTAACCCCTTGTTAATTAGCTTCTCTCTGAGCCTGTGATTGTAGCATGGTTATCCTCCCTGGGCCTGTGATTGCATCATGGTTACCTTACAGCTAATATTCACTTAGAAGTGAGTACATACAATAATTGTCTTTCTGGGTCTGGGTTACCTCACTCAGGATGAGCTTTTCTAGTTCTTCCCATTTGCAAGCAAATTTCTTTTACTTTATAAAATGGTCTACATTCTATGGATGCCAAGCATGGGATATCCTTAGGTGAAATGGGGGTATATTTGAAGTTAGTGAGATTGCCCAGTGGCTATGTAAGCTTGCCACCAAGCTTAATGTGGGTTTGAACCCAGTGTTTCTGAAGGTAAAAACAACAAAAACAACTCGGACAAGCAGCCCTCTGATCTTTACACCATATTCTCGATCAGAGCACACAGGGAATGCTCGGCAATTTGTGAAACTCACAAACAGAAAGATATGCATGACTGACCAGTGTACAGCATAGTCTTCCTACTACATGACAAGGGAACACACTATCTGCAGTGCTAACACTATGAAGTCCAGCTCTGCCTTCAGGAGACCTGAGTTTCAGAGTGTCTCCAGACAGAATTGTGTTTACTTTTCTGTTTATGTGTCAGCTTCCTTACAAACCTTCTTTCACTTGATATTTATCCTATGATAAATATCTTTGAAACTTGCATTTCACCATTACTTTTCCCTGCTATTGCCTGTCGGAAATATCTGAACGCATGATCATGGCCTTCAGAGATTAGGATACGAAAATACCCAAAGAAAGAAACAGGTTAGACAGAGGAGGAAGTCATTTAGACAGACCAAGAAAATAAAGTTGATGCTTTATTTAGAACAAGTTGAGAACTACAAGAGTTTTTAAATGAGTAGGAACTTTCTTCTAGGATTCTTCTGACAGATGTTGCAAATGTAGTTCTCACTTCATATCTTTTCCTCGGCCACTACGGAAGCACACTTGGCCTTCACCTGATTCTTTAGTTTCAAAGAGTTTATCTCTAAGAGAAAAAAGATAGCACCAAAGAGTGACATGGTGGCAATTAGTACCCCTATTGGGAACACAACAGTATAGTGTTTGCTTATTAAGGCTTCTTTTTTAACCGGATAGTCAGGTGGAAAGTCAAGAGTGGTTTGGTCATAATGATCTACAAAGTGGTTCCAGCTCACAGAAACAAATGTGAAGATGCTGCTAACACACAAAACTAAGGCAGCAACCTTGTAGCAATATAACTGCATCTCAATAAATGGGTCTTTCATGCAGCCAATATTAATGGCAATTGCACTGAAAATCAGAACTACAAGCTTCATCAAAACAGCCCACATTATCAGGGTCTGTGCATACTGAAATTCAGGTGAAATGGTCCAAGTGGAATTGATAGGGGTGTGCACCAGAATCTTGGTTACAGTGCCTGAAACATTAAATTCTTGAGGGTAGTAAGCTTCCCAAAGTCCAAAAGACATGAATTGCACAAGCTTGTCATTGAATTCCCAGAGGCGCCAGAATTGGCTGCTTGCTATGACAATCTCAAACACCAAGGCTGATAGGCTGCAAAGGAGGCCACTAAACTTGAAGATGTACTCCTTCGCATTGGCAAGTCTGAAGATGAAATTGAACAAGTATATAGTCAAGTCAGGAACACAAGGGACAGTGGAAAACAAAATGAGTTATGGTTTACAGAGCAATAAGTTCTTATACCTTGTCATTGCTGTCACAGAAAGTTGTATTTAAGTAATATACCTATGGCCAAAGTTCCCTCTATAAGAGGTTTTGATTAGCAATTTCACTATATCTATCAAATGCTGAAATGTGCGGGTGGAAGCTCCTTTGTTTCAATAGCCTGTCTGCAGCAAGCAAGGTAGGCGCTTTGTTTATGAACCACCCAACCAGCACGGAGATCTGATGTTGGCACCAGGAGAGCCATCATTGGGGTGAGACATCGCTTGAGCACCAGGAGAGCCATCACTGGGGAGTGCCATCACTGGGAAGGTACATCAGTAGGCAAGGAGACCTGATCCTGTAAAAGAAGATCCATAGGGAAGCATTCGGAGGAAGAGATGGGCAGGCGCCAATGCGAGAATTCACCCAACAATCTGAAAATCAACATGAAACCACCAGATCCCAGCGACCTCACAACAGGAGGACATGAACACCTTAATCAAGAAGAAGTAGAAAAAATTGACTTTATGAAAGTGATTGGCGCCCTTAAACAGCATGTAAAAAATGCCCTTATAGAAATGGATGAGAAATATAACAGAAAGTTTGAAGAATGAATAAATCAGTGAATGATACCCTAGGAAACCAAGGAAAAACAATCAAACAGATAATGGAAACAGTTCAAGACTTGAAAACTGAAATGGAGGCAAAGAAGAAAACACAAACAGAGGGCCGGCTGGACATGGAAAATCTAGGTAAACGAATAGAGACTACAGAAACAAGCATAACCAGCAGAATACAAGAGATAGAAGAAATCACTTAGTGTCCACATAAAGAAAATACAGAAAACTGACACTAGTGACTTAACAACACACCTGAGAGCTCTTGAACAAAAAGAAGCAGATGTACCCAGCAGGAGTAGAAGACAGGAAATCATCAAATTGAGGGCTGAATTCAATAAAATAGAAACAAAGAAAATAATACAAAGAATAAATGAAACAAAGAGCTGGTTCTTTGAGAAAATTAACAAGACAGACAAACCCTTATCCAAACTAATCAAAAGGCAAAGAGAGAACATCCAAATTAACAAAATCAGAAAGGAAAAGGGCAACATATCAACAGACACTTAAAAAAATCCAGAAAATCATTAGGTCATATTACAAAACCCTGTACTCCACATAATTGGAAAACAAAATAGAAATGGAAAATTTTCTGGATAGATACCATATACCAAAATTAAATTAAGAACAGGCGAACAATTTAAATAGACTTATTAAATGGAAATAGAAGCTGTCATCCAAAAGCTTCCCAACCAAAAAAAAAAACCCAGAGCCAGATGATTTTAGTGCAGAATTCTATCAGAGCATCCAAACAGAGCTAATATTTTTCCTCCTCAAAGTATTCCATATGACAGAAATTGAAGAAACATTGTCAAACACTTTTCATGGGGCTACAGTTTCCTTGATACTGAAACAACACAAAACCTCAACCAAGAAAGAGAATAACTGATTGATCTCACTCATGAACATAGAGGCAAAAATACTCTAGAAAATAACAGAAAACTGAATCCCAGAATACATGAAAAAAATCATCATGACCATGTTGGCTTCATCCAAGTCATGCAGAGATGGTTCAACATATGAAAATCTATCAAGGTATTCCATCATATAAATAAAATGAAAGAAAAAAGCCATATGATCATCTCATTACATGATGAAAAATCATTCACCAAAATCCAAACCCCTTCATGATAAAGGCCTTGAAGACATGAGTAATGCAAGTAACATATCTAAATATAATAAAAGCAATATACAACAAGCCAACAGATAACATCAAACTAAATAGGCAATTCCACTAAAATCATCAGGAATAAGACAAGGCTGCCACTCTCTTCATATCTCTTCAACATAGTTCCTGAAGTTCTGGATAGAGCAGTAGGATAACAAAAGGAAATCAAGGGCATTAAAAATTGGAAAGGAAGAAGTCAAACATTTGTTATTTTCAGATGATAAGACAATATATATAAGTGACCCCAAAATCCCTTCGAGGGAACTCCTAAAGCTGATAAATACCTTCAGTAAAGTGACAGGATACAAGGTCAACTCAAAAAAATCAATATCCCTTCTATATACAAATCATAAGAGACTGAGAAAGAAAACAGAGAAACATCACCCTTCACATTAGCCATAAATAGCATAAGATATCTTGGGGTAACAACAACCAAACAAGTGAAAGACCTATTCGACAAAAACATTAAGTCTTTGAAGAAAGAAATTGAAGAATACAACAGAAGATGGAAAGATCTCCCATCTTCTTGGATAGAGAGGATCAACATAATAAAAATGCCAATACTACCAAAAGTAATCTATAGATTCAATGAAATCCTCATCAAAATCCCAACATAATTCTTCATAGACCTTGAAAGAACAATACTAAACTTCATATGGAAAAACAAAAAACACATAATCACCAAAACATTCCTGTACAATAAAGGAACTTCCAGAGTCATCACCATCAATGACATCAAGCTCTATTTCAGAGCTACAGTAATGAAAACAGCTTGATATTGACATTAAAACAGTGGTTGACCAATGGAATCCAATTGACTTCCCAGATATTAATCAAGCTCAGAGATCTGCCTGCCTCTGACTCCCGGAGGCTGGAATTTAAGATGTGAGTCATCTCAACCCAGCAATAAATTCTAATTTAATAAAATTCAGGAATGATAAACCTCCATGATAGGCTTGTTCAGAGTTTCAAACGGTTTTGGATGTGTTAACCTGTGGCGGACCTCTCGACCAGCGACGAAGAACGACCACCACATCAGGATTCCACTCAGATCACGCTTTACTGGAGTACCCTTGATTGATGGGGAGCATGAAACGAGGGGGGCAGGAAAACAAGGGGCAAGAAGGGAAGGGCAGGGAGAGCAGGAAGTGAAGGGGAAAGGCAGCAGGAAGCGAAGGGGCAGGGAGCAAAGGGGCGGGGAGCTAAGGGGAGAGGCAGCAGGAAGCGAAGGGAGGAGGGCTCTTAGGCAGCTGCTTAAATAGGGAAATGGCACACGGGTCGCCCTGTGATTGGCTGCCACCAACAGCTGACACCAGACCGCATCGGGATAGGCTCAAGGATCCTCATCCACCACACATGCGGGAAGCGGGGACGCACAGCTCTCAAAGCCATAGCCAAATATGGAGTTGTTTATAACCAACAAGACAGGATGTTGGCGCCATCTTGTAATGGCGATCCTGTCCGGCTCACTACAGTTCCCCCTTATTGTTTGTAAGCAATGAGCGCAGGACTAACGTCATCCAATCTGACCCCCACCTCATGATGTGTTGGTCGATCGAGGATGGAAGATATTTTCCATGGACACACCTTCCCCTGTGCAATGGGTACTCGAGGAACCCCGGGGGTGCAAAGGCTGTGTCGCAGGAACCTACATCCGCACACCTACCCAAGTGCAATGGATCAACAGATCCCATGGGGTGCATAGGCTGAGCCGCAGAAATCTACATCCGCACACCTACCCAAGTGCAATGGATCAACAGATCCCATGGGGTGCAAAGGCTGTGCAGGATGGAAGCCCTAAGCGTCTCTTATTGCTGACATCCATATCTGGGGGAAGGAGCCACATTCCAGGGTAGCTAATGCCTGAGAGATTACAACCTTATCCCAATATAGCCTTATCCCTATTGGTCTGGGCTCGAAGGCAGCAAACCAACCACAGGCACAACACACAGCCACCCAGGCAGCTTGCCAAAAACATGCCCATGCAACGAAAAGCACAGGGACCCTTTCTCTGTAATGTTACGTGCTTCTCCTAAAAGGGCCACTTTAGACTTATACATTAAAAATAGTAAATCAAGGTTTCTATTGGTGGTAAAAATCTGGGGAAATCATGCCGAACAGGCATCACCTTTGGGAGGGCTGACAGGATTCTCCTTCTGTGCTCCGCCTTCCCCTGGATCCATGTCATCAGGGATGTCAGCTGGAACTTCCTCCAGAGACTCAGCCTCATCCTTAGGAGCTTCCTTGATCATGCGTGTCAGCCGGCTCGGAACCCAAAGCGGAGCCTCTTGGCCCTGTGGAAAAACACATACAGCTCCCCTGGATCTTGCCATCGCAAGATCCAGTCCATACCATTTGTTATCCAATACATATTTCCACATCACATATTCCTTTTGTTCCATAGGGCCTGCTGCATGCTTTTCAGCTGCTGCAGTACCCAACTCATTCAGGTTTAAAAAGTTAAGTGTGAAGAGAGCAAGGGAGATTCTTTCCCTGGGGGAAGCGTGATGTGGGAGTAATTTCTTATTAATAAAGAAACTGCCTAGACCCATTTGATAGGCCAACCCTTAGGTAGGCGGAATAAACAGAACGGAATGCTGGGAGGAAGAAGCTGAGTCAGGGAGTCGCCATGATTCTCCCACTCCAGACAGACGCAGGTTAAGATCATTCCTGGTAAGCCAGCTCGTGGGCTACACAGATTAATAGAAATGGGTTAGATCAATATGTAAAAGCTAGCCAATAAGAAACTGAAACTAATGGGTCAGGCAGTGTTTAAAAGAATACAGTTTCCGTGTAATTATTTCGGGTAAAGCTAGCCGGGTGGCGGGACACAGCCCGCCGCTCCGTATTTCAACAGAAGCGGATTCAGCTATTCCCCCTTTTTGTTTTTGTAGAATTTCTTTAATATTTCTGTTGGCTCTCTCCACAATTCCTTGTCCTTGTGGATTGTTTGGAAGACCCGTAATGTGGGTCACTTGGAGCTGTGCACAAAAGGCACGAAATCCATGGGAGGTATATGCCGGGCCATTGTCTGTCTTCAGGCATAGGGGTTTTCCCCAGGCAGCCAATGCCTCAAGGCAATGTGTTTTTACATGAGTCACCTTTTCTCCCACTAGGGGCGTGGCATGAATAATGCCAGAAAAGGTATCCACTGATACATGTAAATATTTTAATTTGCCAAAATCAGGCAGATGGGTAACATCCATTTGCCACAACGCGTTAGGTTGCAGCCCTCTAGGGTTGACCCCAACATTAGGGGGGTATAAAAAGGTCACACATGAAGAACAGGCTTTAACTATATCTCTGGCTATCTGTCTGGAAATATGAAATTTTTTCTAAGGGTATTGGCAGGCACATGCCAAAGCTTATGAAAATCTCATGCTAATTCTACAGGGTCCGAGACGACCAAAGCCATGGACCGGGTAAGGCAGTCAGCCAAATCATTGGCCTCAGACATGGGTCCTGGAAGCAAAGTATGAGCCCGAATATGTCCAATGAAAAAGGGATTATCCCTTTGTAAAATGCATGCTTGAATTTGACACAAAATATTGGAAACTGTACTTGAATTTCTAACAAAGGCAGCCACCTCCAATGAGGCAACAGCATTTACCACATATTTAGAATCTGAAAATAAATTGAAGGGTTCTGAAAATCTTTTAAAAACTTCCAGCACGGTCATACATTCCGTGACTTGTGGGGAATCAGGTCGAAAATCAAGCAAAATGGGTTCCCTACCTTGAATTACTATGGCACCTTTGCCAGTTTTGGAGCCATCAGTAAAAACAGTCAAGGCCATATTAATGGGCTTTTTAAAGGTAACCTTAGGAAAATACACTAAGTTCCTTTCCATAAAATTTAATAGGGGATGTCTTGGATAATGATTATCAATAAGGTTAGGAAAAGCACAAACCAAAACAGCCCATTTATTTACTGTAGCTGTCAATGTCTCCACCTGTCCCTTGGTATAGGGAATAATCAATTTATCTGGCATGGTTGCAAAAGATGTTAAGCAATGTTTTATCCCCAATACCGCTTGAGAAGCAACCAACTCGGGATAATATTGAATGGCTTTGGTACCTGAAGAATTACCATGGATCCACCATAAAGGGCCATCTTGCCATAGCACCCCAGTAGGGTAATGTGCAGTTTTTAAGATGCATAAGAATATGGGCAAAGCAGGATCGACTTGGCACAATTGTGCCTTAGTCATTGCTTTCTCCACCTGTTTTAAAGCCTTTTCAGCCAAGGGGGTCAAAGTTCTGTACGAATTAACATTTGGATCACCTTTCAAAATAGAAAACAAGGGCAACAACTTTGCCCGGGGGATGTTTAAATACCCCCTAATCCAATTAATATCCCCCAATAATTGTTGAAAATCATTAAGTGTCCTCAAATGATGGGTGCGAATGGAAATCTTTTGAGGGGTCACCGTCAAAGGGGATATAATTGCCCCCAGAAATTTTATAGCAGTAGTCTGTTGGATCTTATCTGGTGCCAAGACCAGGCCCCAACATGTAGAAAAATGAAAATAGATCTACATCCATCTCTATGTACAAAACTTAAGTTTAAATGAGCCAAAGGCCTTAGCATATAAAAATTATGTTGAACCTCACAGAGAAAAATTTTTGAAGCACATTTTGTGATATCTTAAACATAGCCTTAGTGGCACAAACATTTGGAGAAACCATAAATCTCCTGAACTGAGAAACTTTTGTATAACAAGGCTATATAGTGGGAAAAGATCTTTACTTATCATAAACCCATTTCAAAAATATATGAAGAACTCAGGAAATTAGTTATTAAAAATTAATCCAATAAAAATATTTGTTACAGACCTAAACTGAAAACTCTCAACAGACGAACTTAAAAATGACTGAGAGACATTTAAAAAAATTTTAAACATAACATCCTTTAGCCATCAGAGAAATGTAAACCAAAACTCTGAGATTTTATCTTATCCTTGTAAAAATGACCAAGATTAAAAATTTTTGTCAACAATTTATGTTTGAGAAAATGTGGGTAAAGAAAAAACCTTATTGCTGGAAGTGTAAACCGACACAGCCATCTTTGGATCACACATCGTATTGAAAAACCTGAACAAACCAGACTCTTCCAGCAGGAAGAGAAGAACCAAAAATCTAGGACTAGCCGCTTCAGCGACCCTGCACCAGGAACTAGCTGAAGACAAAACCAGACTGCAATCCTGTTAACAATCCCGATAAACAGTGAGTTTTCTCCTTGTGATTATCAGCTTGTTTTTTTTAGGAACTAGCCTGATTACAACCTTGGGAGTGGTCCCAGGAGGCAGGGAGTCCCCCTGCGACCACCATTGGATTTTTGGAATTTATGACCCTCCTGGACCACTGGGATGTGGCCTCTTTTTTTAAAATTTTTTTTCCTGGTCATTTGGGGTCGAACTCCTCCCCCGCCAACCAAAGCCACGAGTGAGTGACCTCAGCAAGGATGGCCTCCAGGGAGCCAGGCAGGGGGCCGCATCATCCCTAGACCCGAGTGAGAGTTTCCCCAGCATTGGGAGTATCTCATTATGTCTATTTTTTAAAATTAGGCAAATATCTACTTCAAAACTTAGCAATACCCCTTTTGGGCCTAAATACAAAGTTGTTTAACCACAAGAACATGTGCTCAGCCTTGCTTGGAGGTGTGGCTGAGCAGAGCAGTTGGGCCAACCTGATCCAGGCCGGTTGCCCCGGGCTAGGACAGACGTTCAAGCTGGTGAGCCTCACCAGGGTCGTGCTGCGCTATGCCCTGAGGCCCACGCTGGGAGTGGCCTAGCGTTCTAGCCTGTGGGTACTCAAGGCAGGTCCTGTGTTTGCAGCTTTACATCTTGGAGCCGCAGCTGTTCACATTCTAAAAAATCTGGAGGCCTTGGTAACTCAAACCAGAAGAATATAATTCCCTTTCTTAGCATATCTTGTTTAGCGGTCAGACCTCTACCAAGCCTATCATAGGATGACACATTAAGATTGCCAGAGGCGGCTTTCTCCAGTTCTTCCTCCTCCTGAGGGTCTAACTCCTCCTCAGACCTATCCAGGCCAGCAAATTCCTCAAGCACTGGATAGAGGGGACCTCCCCTCTTCTCATTAGCCTCTCTTTTAGAGAGGTTTGTATCAGGATCCTTTTCTTTTACTTTTTTTCTTTCAGGCCTTTCCAAGTTTCCTCCCTTTGAATCTGAATCTGAAAACCTGTTCTTGTGTTTAATGCGGGCCTTTCGCCCCTCTCTCAGAACGTCCATGTTGTTCCCCGCCCTGACGTTGCGGCCGGACTTACGGCAGTGCAACCAGAGACAGCAGGCCAGTACCAACACCACAAACGTCAAGAACACGAGACCAAACACCCAAGAACCCACTCCCGCAAACAGCATACTTTGGGAGACTGAAATTAGCATACTGGGAGAAACTTACCGACTTCGCCACTCCGCGTGTTGAGTTCAGAATCCTCTTTGGCCCTTCGCCTGGTGACAGAAGTTCCCGGGTTTCGGCACCAGCTGTGGCGGACCTCTCGACCAGCGACGAAGAACGACCACCACATCAGGATTCCACTCAGATCACGCTTTACTGGAGTACCCTTGATTGATGGGGAGCATGAAACGAGGGGGGCAGGAAAACAAGGGGCAAGAAGGGAAGGGCAGGGAGAGCAGGAAGTGAAGGGGAAAGGCAGCAGGAAGCGAAGGGGCAGGGAGCAAAGGGGCAGGGAGCTAAGGGGAGAGGCAGCAGGAAGCGAAGGGGAGGAGGGCTCTTAGGCAGCTGCTTAAATAGGGAAATGGCACACGGGTCGCCCTGTGATTGGCTGCCACCAACAGCTGACACCAGACCGCATCGGGATAGGCTCAAGGATCCTCATCCACCGCACATGCGGGAAGCGGGGACGCGCAGCTCTCAAAGCCATAGCCAAATATGGAGTTGTTTATAACCAACAAGACAGGATGTTGGTGCTATCTTGTAATGGCGATCCTGTCCGGCTCACTACATTAACCATATAGTTTAATGCATATGTGCTTGTTAGCACACTGTGATCTACTGACTAAAGATAATACATAGAAAAAGAATTCATTTTCATTGCATGACAGTTATGAATGCATTTCTAAAGGCATGTGACAACACGGTCTGGTGTGTACTGACTTTATCTGCCTTCATTGTCTTTCTTTGTCTCTCTCTCTCTCCCAACTCTATTAAATGGAAACATCAAGTAGGGAAATTGGAGCAAGTTGGGTAAAATCGATTATAGGGTCAAT